AAGCGAGGGGGCAAGCGAGGACAAAGTGTGTAGACAATCAGGGCTTGACTGCCTAGAGTTCTAATAAAAGTGATGAAGCCAGATCTTTGATTAACTCGCCGCTCAGTTGAGGGATTGTGCTGATCATCAGTAGTTTGCTACTTGCATACTTGTTCCTTATAGCCTGCAGAGGAACAATGTTACAGAAGATTAACACACAGTATAAGTTCAGGCAGATATTTTTGAAAAGCAAGCAAACAAACAAGGTTAAGAAATGAACCAGCTTGCAAGGTAGCAAGAGCACAGTTTGTCTAAGAAGTTGGTACTAATGCTCTCACAAGCTTGTCAGAATAGCATATGCTTTAGGACAACATATACAACAGTTACCTAAGGAGCCACAATATGCATCCTAAAACAGTAAAAAAAAAAAAAAAATTTTAGTAGTTATACTTACAGCGTATTTTGTTGAGTTATTTGCTCTGACCACATTCTTAGCCATGTGTTTCATAGTCAGCGTAAGACTGTCTTCTGCATAGCCAGTGTAGTAATGCTGCTTTGTATCCTGCAGCATAATGGTAAGAAATTTGAGATTTATTAAGTGGGGATTGCTGCTCAAGGCACAATCAATTCAGGTAGCAAATGCCCTAAGCTTCATGCACTAGCCTTGCATGCTAGGAACAGTAGTACTGTCAGTTTAGGTGACAGATGCAGAGTAACTTCTGGTGTGCAGCTTAAGTCTAGATGCACCAGTGCCAAGAACCACATTTCTACACTGCACAGAGGGTAAAAGCAGCAACCACTAGTTGATTTACAATCCACTGCTCATGGTCCATGATTTCATTATTCTACATGTACCGAACTATGATAATCTTACTTTTATTTATAGTGTGGCCTTTTGTAACTCAGTACTTTCAAGAGAAAAATCCTTTCACACTACAGCATTCACAAAGAAAAAGATAGTAAGCTTTTAGTGGTATACTCCTTTTTCTACCTGCAACTACTCATCAGGCTGTCCAACTATTATTTTATCACCAGCATTATTACACCTAAATGCAATTTTCTGAAACAGTTGTTTTAATGGTTCAAATTCAATCGACTGAAGGAAAAAGCTCCCAACAATGAGTTTGATTAAAGTACTTACCCATCTGTTACATCCCAGAATCTTTTGGGACAAGCATAACGCAGCAGCTGCAATCTCTGAAGGACGACGGTGCACCATCTCATAGTCTATCAGTGTCAACTCCATTAGGTATTTTGCTAGTGTATGTTGCTTAGCATCAGCCTACCAGATTGAGAGTATGTTAATCCACAAAGTTCCACTTCACCTTATCATAATAATTAATGATTGTTTATTGTGTTAATTAACTGATAAAACAAAAATGGTCAGCAAAATCTTTATTAAGGTCTAGGAACCACACATCTCAAAATCGAGACCAGAGTTCAAACCAGTCTAGCCTAGCAGTCTTTGGAATTTAGACACAAAGTCAAGTGAGGGAGTTTAGCAGAAAATTGCCGTATCAGGCACTGCTGTGCCTCACTGGGGATTACTAATGCTCCCCTTTGTAAAACACAAAGAGGGGGTGAGGGAGTGTGTAAATGATTCAAAGAGATCCTTACTAAAGCAGTCAGATAACTTCAAGTGTTATCTAGTAGTCTATTGAGGTAACTGAAGCCCACTTCAAGTTCACTCAATGTAACTACTCAGGTGGGATAAAAAGGATCAGGTCAAAGAGAAAGCTTATATTTTGATTCTTAAATAATATAATATTTGCATCCAAAAATTATGAAGAACTGCAACACTGCTCCCCTTTTACTAGGGAATATCCCAATCACCAGAAAAAAAGATTACTTTAAATTCAGGGGTTCTGCATTAGGTATGTTTAGTCTACTCTAGCAGTAAAATTACTGCCACTAAGACTGAACACAGACTCCAGTAAATAAAAATGTGCACCGCTACAGGCTGCCACAGTGCTGTTGTGCTGTTACTCCACATGGTGGAGTTCCAGAGCTGAATATTTCTTGATCCAGCATACAAGCAGAAAGCAAGTAAGATCACATAATAAAAATGCCAGAAGCAACCTTGGTAAGACTACACATATAGGAAAGTTCTAGATAATGAGGACAAGCACTCACCTCCCCAGCTTTTGATGCTCTTCTTAAGAAATGAATTGGAAGAGGTCGTCCCAAACTGAAGTTTAACTCTTTAAGAATCATAGCCTCCATCTCTCTAACTTCATGACTGGTATAGGCATTATCAGTAATGTAAACAATATCTGCTATATCAGGAGCATACATCTCTTCATATTTTGAAGCTACAAGCAGTGCTGTTACACCCACCAGCTGAAGCTTCTTACGAGGTACTGGATGACTCTGCAATACAGAAATTTAAAAAGCAGATGCTAAAGTGTCAAACTCTAGATAAACAAATTTTAATTTATCAGTTTAAAATAACCTGTATGACAGTACTCATTCTTATAGCATAAATGAGATTTTCCACTTTAAATCGGCAGTGTTCCTATAATGACAGGCTCAAAGAAGACTCCAGCCTCAGAGTTAAAATGCTACATTACAGAGAGATCTCACATAAAGAGCAGATTTCATAGGGTTTTTTTTATTTACAAATAAAGGATAAATCCCAAACTCCTTTAAAAGCATAGTCATTGAACAAGTCTCCTAATCCAAACCCAAGCTGAAAAATGCCACACTTACTTGTAAGAAGCGATCCATAATTGCAACAGACATATACAGTGTTTCCTGCAAAAGCTGGAATCTTGAATGGACCTGGACAAGCCAGTCAACTAAAATTGCACGCATGCGCCCATTGATCATGCTCCCATCAAGGTAATGCGAGCGGATCGACTGCTGCAACTGTTGGAGAAAGAGGTGCATGAGCAACAAGATTAACACTATACTGTAGAAGCACAAAGTCAGCACGCCATACCTCAAGCTCTCTCAGGTACAGATAGATATCTTTTACATAGTCACTACAGAGCTGAGGATTTCCCCAGTCCTCAGCGTCAATGTCTTCTACATTGCTGAGCAACACATCAGAGAAAGCTTGGCACAAATCCTCTTGCACAGATATATCCATAGGGACAGGAGACAGAACCTAAAGAACAGATCATAGTGCTTACATATCTACCATTTAAGCTGCAATGCTCCTTCATTTTCACGTTTTCCAGTTACTAATACAATTTCTTACAACAACAGTTGAAACAGCTTACATTCTAGCATGGCAAGGTTTCACCACAATTCTGTACACACAGAAACAGAAGACCTTCTAGTAACTGCCATCTAAAGCAGAAACTTCATCAGCTAGTTCTGCCACTTTAATGTTAGTGTTTAAGTACATGTGTTAAATCAAAACTTGAAAATAGAGGCTTTGCTTTTTTAATACATCTACAGATAAACTATTCTAAAGTTAAAATGAAGAATCAGAACAGCATCATTACTTCTTACCTTTCGAACATCAGTTTCTTTGAGTGTTTGATTCATGGCAGCTGGAAGTCTAGGCAGTACAGTTACCTCTATCATCTTACTGGGTACTTTTGTAGGCTTTAGGGATGCTTTGGAGCAGTCCGTTTTCTGCAGTGAAAACAATGACTATTAGTACAGAGCTAGTAATCCACCTTTTCCATATAGATATATTTATTTCACATGTTCCCTTACCTTTGTTACACGTGTTCCTCTTGTTGTGACTTTATTTCCGATTTCTTCCAATGCAGCCCTTCTGCCAGTAACATGAGTTTTGGCTTTACTTTTAAGTTCAGGCACAGCATTCTCCATCCCTCTAGTGACCTAAAACAATAAAATTGCACTTTGAGTCAGAGACCAACTTTAATTTGCAGATGCCTAACTCCGCTATACACTTACCACCACTGTACCAGTGTAACACTGTGCACGCTATCCATTACTCAACCAGTTTTTACTTCCTACCCATTCACACATGCTCAGAGGATGAAGTCTTCTCCTTGTGCATTTCAGATGGTACTGTACTCTCTGAAACTGTTGCAAGATTAAAGCAACGCAGCCTATCTCATTCTTCCCCACTTCAACCTTTTATCATTATTTACCTACTATCTAGCTTTTTACTGTATTTATGCACTTTATATATTGTATTTATGTACTATAGCAGTACTCCTATGAAGATGAACAAAGCGATTTCTTTGTTATGAACATACCACGTAAATAAAAAAGTTATGTTACATGTACAAAAATAAACATCCTTTATTACACACAGCAAAGAAACCAGCAGGTTTCAAGTCTTTCTCGTAGGGTTTAATTTAAACCATAATAGAGTCACCACAGCAATGCAGTTCTTGTATAACATTCCCGCACCATTCCATTAAGCAGCATTAATTTTCACCCTTCCTCCCACACACTCTTCCCCGCACTCTGAGGGGGAGGAGCAGGCGGCCAAGGCCAGGTGCAAGCTGATGGTGGAGCGCCCATACCCTCCAACGCGCAGCTCCCGGAGCAGCGTGCTCCCTCCCCCTCACCACCACTCCCTCAAAGCTCAGTCCGGCTGCAGTCTTCTCCACCTCACCAAGCTACCCAGCCGCAGATCCCGCTCCCCTCCGGCAGCTGCCCATACCCGCAAAAGCACGGGGGCGGGTCACGGCCCGCTCTAGGAGCCATCACCCCCCACTATCTCACTGCAGGGCAGAGCCCCGGCCAGCGCGCTCGCGCCAGACCTCAGCGTTTAGCTGCCTAATGGGCAAGAGCGACAAGGCCCAAAGGCAGCTCACTCACTCCCTCACCAACCCACCCTTCCGCTCCTTCCCTCCCCTGCCGGCTCCCTCCCTGCCTCGCCGGGCCGCCTCTCCCGGACACAAGCAGTACTCACAACGCCGCGGCGCGACGCGGGCAGCGCCATGAGCACGGAAACAAGGGGAGGCCGCAGTCAC